GGAGATACACCAGATGAGAAGAGTGACTGCGCTAAGCAGAGCACCTTCTGGGAGAGCTGGCGTTTCGTCCTGCTGATGGAATGAGGAATTCACCTCTATTTGCAACAGATGAGAGTTTCTGACTATGGAGCGCAGGGGCCAAAGCCATGGGTCATCGCTCTGGGAGTCTGAGCTTATGGACTCTCATTCTCTGTGCATTTTAGTCTCTCTGCCCTTTGTTTTGAGGCCTCATCTCTTGTTTAATAGATCGTTAGCTCTTTGAAGGGAAGCTTTCTCTCTACCACGCTCTTATTTTTACAGTTCCACTTGCTTTGTGTTTCGCTTACTGACTTTGCTCCCAGACATCTGCTTGCCCTCTCTATCCTGTCACAGAAAGTAAAGGGAGAGAATAAAAAATAAAAATGCTTGAATGCGACAGAGAAAAGACTGGGGACTGAGCTGTTTTGTCTGAAGTTTGCTAAGTGTTGTCAGGCAGCCTGTAAGAAACACGTGTCAGGTTGAATACTGAACACCGGGTTGATTGTAAGAGAATGAGTTAAGGAATTGACTTTCCCAAATGCTTTTTCCCAGATATTGATTCTTTGACTACAAACTCACAAATTGGATTCAACATACGGTTGGCCAGCCTAGAACAGTGGAAGACAATAGCAGGTAAGGAACTGCACGTTGGTTCCTGCTGTGGTAGGTAGAGGTGGTGATTTTTTACTCAATGCTCTAGATTTTCCATTGAGACTTTCTTGTGGAAAAGCCAGCCAGGAAGAGTATAGAGATTTTGTTACCTGTAGGAGTGCTTTGAAAGGTCAGGACCTGGAGTCGTGCTGTCGACTGTAACCGTGTAGTTAAAATGTCACAGACTTCTACATGAAAGAACATTTTGCCTAAAAGTGCTTTCTTTGCTCTTAGACCCAGGACATTTTCAGAAGGCACAACTACATCAAGGTACATCTATGTTTCAAACTATCCAAAGCTTATAGTAGGTGAGAAATTGTAGTATGCCACACTATGAGGAAGGAGAGGAGAGATGGGATTTTTGTTGTTTTGTTGTTGTTTTTTTTTTTCAATGAAAGCTCCTAACTGTGTGGCATTTCTGGACAAAATCTTGATACGTGAACAATTTTTTTCAGGAAAATTTAACAAGAAATCTGTGTTTTAAGGCAATACTCAGTCACAGTATGATGAATTCCGTTGGCCTGAGTGTGCCAGGGTAGATTGAGAAGACAGTTCAGGCACTTGTCAGACCTGCAGTACAAGGGGCATCACCCTGCCAGAGACAGTTTGAAATGCTAATGCGATGTTTTCTGCCGATGCTCTGTGTGGTGTGTGGAGAATATGAACTGCTTTGTGCTGGTGGGATTCAGGGGGGATAAGCAGTTTCCTTCTCCCGAGGGAACTTGGATATGTCTTCTTACTCTCATTATACTTTGTCCCAGTGTGTATCACAAATGTGGTTTTCTTCCTTTAGTGAACAAGGAGCTTCCAATTGCGGTTGTATAAATTCCTATTACAAGTCTCCTTGTATTTTTTCAGTAGCTTCTAGGGACAGATTGTGGGCAAGCAGTGGGAGAGAATGGGTCACATACATTATGATGGACCATATAGCCATCTTTACCCAAGATAAAGGCAAAGAGCTACCACACTCTTGTTTGAATTGATGAGAAGTAAATCACCAGGGGCACCCTTTGGTGAGAAATGTACGTTTCAGTTTAGGTTTAAATCCATGCTTCATAAAACTACGAAAAGAGATTATTAGTTGTATATTGGTTAACATTCCTTGCGATACATCAATGAAGTTGGCTTGTAGATTAGGAAAGCAAAGCTAAAACCTAGAGAAAAGCGAAGCACATGTATGGAAATTGCATATCTGAAGCTGATATTTGGTGGGGACAAACCTACTTGCTGTGGTTACAGGATAGATGTTGTAACCTGTGAGTTGTTCTCAAGTGTAATTCTTAAGTGTCAGTCTGGCTTTCCCTCATCTCTTTGAATTTTCAACACTTTGGGACTTAGTCTCTGGGTGTGAATGGCTTGAATGCTCTTCATTAGCTTAATAAGTCCAACTGTATACAAGACTGTCAAAACAGGTTGAAGAGCGTTTTCAGAACCCATCAACAGGCTTTCATTCCAAAAGAAGAACCATACAAACTGTATAGGCTGTTATTTGTTCTTTACCTAATCCTTACCCTTTCTTTATATGCTTAGAGACACTTGGTTTAGCCAAGAGTTTTATTCCTGGAGAGAATGTTGTGAAAAGATTTTTTTCATCCAAGCTTGGCTGCTTCTACTGCCTCTTTTTCCTCTCCCGCTAAATGCATGTAAGGTCTTGCTGACAACCCCTGGACCAGCTCTGGACTGTCTGTCCTCAGCCTTTTCTCGACATGTGTCCTGGCTTTTTCAGTAGCCTCCGTGCTCGGAGTAATGCCTTCAGAACAGTCGGCCTTGCAGGCTGGGCTGGGAGCAGGTGTGCGTGTTCCTTCTCCCCAGTCAGCTTCCCTCGTGTTTGTTCAGAGTTTCTTATCTTTTCCATTGTTTTTGCTTTCCTGTGGGGTTTGGGTTGTTTCTTTTTAATTATTCTGTAGTCTGGTTTATTCTACAGTAACTCGTTACAAATAAACATATCAGGCATGTGCTTTATTAAGAAAACAATTCAATTCCTGGACTCCCATGGACTCATTTGAAAATCCAAACCTGGCAGAGTGTTTTTTAATTAAGCTGATGAGTTTAACTTCTTACATCAAAAAAGAAATCAAAGAATTCACAAGTTATGATTCAGTGTCCAGCTGTCACACAGAATCACAGAATGGTAGGGGTTGGAAGGGACCTCTGTGGGTCGCTAAGCATTTTAATAATTATTTTCTGTCAACTGTCCTCCTTTAAAAAACTTCTGAAGAATGTGAGTTACACCTCATCTCCCTACTAATACAGTAAAAAACAATCCTAAATGCAATAATCTACAAATAATTCTTCCTGTCTTGATCAGCAAAATCTACTGTCTTCCAAAAATTGCTGTAGAGTTTTGGTTTTGTTTAAAAGAGAAAGCTCATTTTTTACTGCTTGATATCTAATTGTTATCCTTTGAAGGAAAACCAAGAATTTTCCCTGTTTGGTGGATAAGAAACACAAACTATTAGTGAGCGTGTTCAATCCTGTATACGTTATTGACATTGGTGTGGAGTGAGCAGGTAGGAATTTATCTTGGGGACATGCTGTTAGGTAAAGACTTACGTTGTTCATTTTCCTAGCTTGATACTTTTCACATAACCTTTTCACCAGATTTTAATTATAAGAAAGACCTTAAACCTTCTACTTTTAAATAATGACTTGACAGGAGAGAAGATGTTTTCTGGTTTGATGTTGGCATTGCAGTCTTCCTCCAGTTTGGTCTGTCAGCCACACAGCTCTTATCCTTTGAGTATGCTTGTCCAGCTTTGCTGTTTGCTTTTCTTGCTTTGCTTTCGGTGATGCCCTCATCCTCTTCATGGTTTAAAATAAATGCAAGAAACAACCCACAGAAGCAGCTGATAACATTTTTTTTCTTAGACTTACTCTTAACCTGCAGTCTTTCCACTGAGAGGTGCTTGAGCCCTGGCAGAAGATAGGGAACACTGTTATTAAAAATGAGACACTGTGGCTTATCAGCAGAGTGTATCATCTAATGCTTCTAGTCATCCTTCCCGGTTGTTACTTAAAACAAGTTGCTTACACTGATGTGATCCAACCAGCAGCTCTAGATATATATCCTTTTCTCTTTCCTGTTGCTTTGCTTGGGGAATGTTGCCTGTTCAGGGCTGCCACCACATCGACACAGGAGTAGGAAACAGGCTGTGTGCTGCCAAGCCAGCCAGCAAGGATGGTCTTCAAACAGAGTTAACAGCAGCAGAAGTGGGATCACTCTGGGTTAGACCTGCTTCTCTATGCTCCCACTTCACAAGCAGGAACAGCTAAGTCGTGCGCACAACTGGCCGTGTTTTCTGCAGCTGGCTAACGGTGACTGGCTAAAAGGCAACATCGAGTGTGCTTCAAGTTGTGTGCCGGATGGTCGGTGTGTGGCAACGCCTTTAGCCATAAGTGGCTTGTGTTGACTGCCATGTCTTTTGCATACAGTCTCCTCGTGTACATCTTGTCTCAAAACCATAGAAATACACAGACAGACAGTGCAAGGTCGTAAACTAAAGGCAGACTTACTTCAGTCTGTCGTTATAGTAGTGATTGAAAGATTTGCACAAAACAAAGTAATTAATCAAAACATGTCGCTAGTGTCTTTTAGACATGATGAATGGCCTTTTTCAGACTTGTGGAAGCAGACAGCTATGTATACACGTGAAAGGTGGAGCAGCTCTTCACTGGGGATGTGTCGATGGAGGAGAGATCTGTTGGATGCTGTGGAGCGGGCTGGTGTGAGCTGTGTGTAGCACCAGGCCTGTGCTCAGGGTGCTTTTTGTTCTCATTCCACCTCAGCCCAACCCTACGTAATGCTTACTTTTCTGTGAATAAAGCCAAGCAACGGAGGCAGGAGGAGGATTTGGGAGTGGGGGACCTGCTGCCATTTCTGTTGTGACGTTTACCTCTTACCTTTCAAGCAAATGTTCCTGTTCACTTAGTCTGTGCAAATCGGAAACCTCATGGATTTAAAAAACAGACCGTGTTAACGCACCACACATTCACTCACGACAGTAACGGTTGCAGAAGTAACAGCTCTTGGTGAAACAGAGGTTTGCTCTGGGGAAGCAGAGTTCCTACTCTTCAAATACTGCAGCACTCATCTGGGAATATCGTACAGCTCAAAGGGCTTGTTTGTTGGTACGGCACTCTTCACTATAGCTGCTTTTTCTACAGTGAGGAGAACTCACGCAGTCCCTCTGAGATGCCGTGTGTTTCATCATTCGGTGTGCGTTGTCAGCCTTGCTGGCATGCGAACGAACCTGCGCGCAGGTGCACGGAATGCACAAAGAAACAGCTTGTTTCTGTCTGAACACTAGCTTGAAATCTCTCTTTCCTTCCAGATGTCCACACGGAAGCAGTTCAGGCAGCCCTTGCTAAACACAAAGAAAGGAAAATGGCAGTCCCCATGCCCTCCAAACGACGTTCATTGGTGGTACAAACATCAATGGATGCCTACACACCTCCAGGTGAGCATCTCTGTGTATTTTATGAGAATTTAAAAAATGGTTCTTTGTGCTACTATGAACTAATAATCTGCCTGCATAGATAGTAATGGAAATGTTTTTTGAAGCACACTGAGCATAATGTTGAGGTATACTTGAAGAAGAGAGGGTGAACTGAATGGTTGGAAAGTCAGCTGGGGCAGTTCGCATGATTGCTTTGCCCTTGGTGGTACCTCAACTTGCATTGGTCCTTTCGGTCTTATGAGGACCTAACTATGGCCAGCTTGTCATATTTTCTGTGACTCAAAGTACTTTTCAAGTTTCTAGTTTATTCCCTAACACTTTAATGGAATGTTGTCTTTACAATTGGTCATGCCATTCCTTTTCAGATTTATCTGCTCTCTTACCTGCTAGACTGTGAAAATACCCCACTCTCATGCATTCTCATACTTGCTGAATCCAGCTGGGACTCCGTTTCTCAATGAGGGGTGGGCTTTCTACAACTGGAAAAGCTTTTCAGGCTTTGTGGAGTGAGCTTGGGAAAGTATTTTGGGTGTTTTGTTAATACATGTTTGGAGATCTTCAGAGCATTCACAAGCCATGCGATAAAGGAAGACTCTTTTAGTATCCTTATTTTTGTACAATAATACACAAGCCATGGCATTAGAGCAGCAAAGCGCCCTTGGTTCGCAGTTAGCAATTGACTTTGTTTCAGGGCTTTCAGTATTGCAGATGTTTCTTACTAAGTTTTCCTGCCTTCGTGAGTTTTTCTTAATGGCAGTTAATCTTTAGATTTGTAATATGAACACACCTTCTTTCTATTAAGAAAACCTCAAAGCACTGCAAGTTCACTGTCTGTTTTTAATTACTAGATACTTCTTCTGGTTCAGAAGATGAAGGCTCCGTCCAGGGCGACTCCCAGGGAACTCCGACCTCAAGCCAGGGGAGTATAAACATGGAACATTGGATCAGTCAGGCAATCCATGGCTCTACCACGTCAACCACTTCCTCCTCCTCTACACAAAGTGGAGGCAGTGGTGCCGCGCACAGACTAGCTGATGTTATGGCTCAAACGCATATAGGTTAGTATGTGGACATTTTGAGTCTGTCCAGTTTAACAGGGATTTTGTCTCTTGCATTCAGCTGATGCTGCTGTATGAAATCTTATAAAAGTCTTCCCAGCGCTTTTTCTTCTTTTTTTTTCTATTTACGTGTATTACATGGAGAGATAGTCCCGTGTTCTTATTTCGTGAGAAAATTAAAAATAAAAGCAGAAATTTAGATTTGCAGCTAAACTTATGTTATGTCAAACAGGGTCTAGCTGTTGGCTCCCAAATATCTTCAAATATGCAGTTTCATGAATTCCATTACTTAGCACTAAAAAAGATCTCTGTAGGATCTGTCAGTGAGGAAAATCAGTACATGCAACATTAGGGATTTCTTGCATGTGAGATTTCCCTTACTGCTGCACCACTTTAATTGCATAGTTTGAGTGATTTTTGATAATTCTGTTCACAGTAAGTCCTCTTAAACGTATTTTTTCTGGCCTTAATTGAATCCAGAATTCTTGGGCTGAGATACCTAGCTGTTACAGTCCTTGGGAAAGTCTGTTCTATACCTTCAGAGAAGAGATTTGTTTATGTCCTTTGAAAAGATCCTAGGAAGTCAAGACTTTCTTTCCATTAGGGCTAAACTTCACAGACATTAATTATTTCTGAATATAGTGCCACTGACATTAGTCTTCATTAAAATGAGGCAGCTATTCGATTAGGCACATGCAAAGCATGGCTTGTTTTCCTTTCCTTCTCCAGTAACTGCTGTTTATCATATGAGGCATGTGCTTTGGGTGCGTTCTTGCTGGGGCTGTATATTTTGAGTTGTCCCACTGAAAATCTGTTGGAATCTGTGTTGAAACAGATAAAGCAACCTTTCTACTGTTCTGCCACACATATGAAATGCTGTTTTGTGTGACCATTCCTCAACTGATCATTCCTTTTCAAGTATGCGTAATGAGATACATGAAAGCATCTTACATGTTCCTGATTTCATGTGCTGGAACAGTAGTTCGTATCCCTTTATTTTTGCTTTGAGTATAGCTTGATGTAACACCTGTATTTTCGTGTAAGTAATCCTCTCACCATGGTCTGGAATTGCTGAATTGCAGTCAGGGGAAGAATTTCTATTGTATTCTTAAATTTATCCTAAATGAATAGCTTAGAACCTTGTTTTAGAAACACGTACACGTCTGAACACATTAATCATGGCATTTGGTTATTTTCTGTGACTTCATCTTGAAATGCTAGAGGAAATTATAGCATAGAGAATTAAATTTATCCAAACTCTAAAAGGTTGCATTACTCACACACCAAGTCTTAATGTGTCTTTAAATATAACTTCTTTATAATGTGACATTTCAGTAATTTTAAATCTGGCACAGTAAGGCTTCTTTTATAATCACTGAGTTTGCGGTAAATAATACAGCATCTATAGATCTAAGTTAAGATGGCAGTATTCTGCAGAAGAGGAAGAATACTACTTCTTGTTCTGTGTTGCCTTCTTGTTGTTGACTGGAAAGATCCCTCCTTGGAAGGAAGCAGTTAAGCTTACCTCAGTGTATACATATTATACATATACATATTATTATTCATTCTGGCAATAACATGCCTTAAATTGCGTCTCCAGTTGGACAGTAGCTGTGATGTAGTAATGTAAAGGTCATTTGGACACAAACTATGAGTGATATCTGCTAACAGATTGAGACTGTGATCTAAAGGTTACCGGTAGTCGTTGTTGCTAAGATCACTGGACAGGTAAGAGAAGCTGCACAGGTGATAACTATAAGATGTGTTTCTTCATGGGTGAGCTACTTTCTGTAAGAATTTGAAATTAAATGGCTCTTTTGTTTCTTTTCAGTCTGAGGAGGTGGATTTTGCATTTAAATGTATTCTAAGAGGTAATAGATTTGAAGTATTCCCACAGATAGCTTTGCTCTTTCAGAGGCAGCGTGCCAGTGATTGTAGATGAATAATCCTCTTTGGTAGGAGAGAATGTGAGAGAGAAGAAGAATCCTGTTGTCTGAAGCTCCTCAGCTAGTGGAGACAATTTGTTCTTGATCACAAAGAATATATATTCCATCATGTGGCTTGATGTTTGGTTGGTCAAGGGAGTTGTTCTCCAGAGACAGATCAGCCTACAATAGAGAAATCATCTGTAAATACGTAAGGGCATACTGGTATAGTCTGAAGATGCCAATTTTGATAAATACAAATTTAGGGAGCAACAGGAAAGACCTTAAAGCCCTCAATTTTCATATCCACTAGGATTTGACCTCCAGAGTGCATCACAGAACCAAAGGGAGATTTTTCCAACTTAAGTACTGTAATGCAGTCCTGAGAAGGGATTCAATAAAAAGCTTTGGCTTTGTCAGAGGTCAGCTTTGTGGATCATTTAGATAATTTGCATAAGCTATTATATGCTTTTAATGTTATAATGTTCATTTAATTTGGCTGCTGCTGCTACTCTATTATGGCCAAAGTTCTAGTTTAGGATAGGTATCCTTCAAATATTTATTCTCAGCTTTAAGATACTGAGGTGTCTGTACTAAGCTGCAGGGAGAATCTCTAGTTTGGCACAGAGACCACAATTGTGTTGGGTAATTCTTGAACTTAGAGGTCAAACCAGTGAAATTTGTAGAAAAAATTCTAATGTTCTGATCCATTTTTGCATCAGCACTGTATATATTTATAAGGTCTTTCAGCTTTTATTTGTCTGTGTTGTATTGTTTGGATCTGTACGTATATAAAGATCAAGGAGAGAAAGCACATCCCAAGGCTCAGAAAGTTTGTGTAATGAAAATCACACAGCACTCACCTATGATTGTAAATTTATAGAGTTAAACATCTCACTACAAAATTTTGATCCTTTAGGTGCATTTAATGTTTCTTTTATATGCTTCAAGTATGCTTATGTTTGGATAGAGGCCTTTGATTTTCAAATTAAAAGCTACATAGATTTCTAATAAAGTAAATATAAAAACATTTGCCACAAGGGATGACTGGCAGTTCTCTGACAACCTTAAAATTCTTCTGTGTTCTGAGGCAGAATATTAACATATAACACAGGACACTAGTTTAAAATACTCTCTGTCACCTGGACATCAATACAGGAGAAACCCAGCTGATGGAAAAAGCCACAGCTCTGACACTGGATTTCCCTTCTGTGACAATCAGAAGAGCAAGCTTGTTTGGGAGAAAAAGCTACATTTTCTTCAAGTACAGTGTTGCAGGAAACCTTTTTGAGTTCCTGGAGACTTCTCAAATACGTGGTGCTGATGTTTGCTTCCAGACTTCCACTGGAAAGTATTCCTCCACCTCTTTGCTTCTTCTCAAACATGGGGCTCTGTCAATGCACACACTTTGTCCTTACGTGAATGTGCTCTGCATTGTTGGTTCTTTCTGATTTTCATGAAATGGGGTAAATTATATCACTGTAGTGGCAGAAATGAAGAGAGCCTTAACTGGAAACAGCTGTTGTGTCTGTGATCTTCTAATGCAAGAATATTGGAGGAGATGGGAAGAGGAGGTGATGCAAATATATATGTTTGATGGAGGAAATGCTTTGAAGTCATGCAGCTGTCACAGTTTTTACTTTTTAGTCCACAGATGTGTCAGGATCGTTATGCTTAGCTAAACCTCAAACAGTGTTTCAAGTTACCTGACAGAAGACCAAGCAGCTTTATACAGATTGTGTCCATAGTCTAAGCCTGGATTGACTGTTCTATAGAAGAAAGGGTACATTTCACATAACATAACAATTACCTTTTTCTTTAGAAGTCATTCAGACCGAATTTTTGTCTGTATGGCTTTCATTTCTCCAAGCATGACTCTGAGAAGGGAACCAACTGAGGACTTGTAAATCTAATGGATGCAACCTACAGCTGTAGATACTGCCATGATAAGACATTTGTTAAGCAGATACTGTAAAGGAGCACAGCAAGACAAACCTTAAGGTTCCTCTTCAGCTGGATAAGGGTTCTTCTTAATGGAAATGTAAATAGCAGATGGGCAGCCAGGGTGCTAAAACCTCACTTTTTGGCCAGCGAGTGGTGGCCATCTGCAGAAGAGAGTTTCTTTTAGAGAATATCAAGTGCCAGTGGTGCTTGTTCAAAAGGAAAACCTTTTACAAAAGAGCGGGAAGCTTCTTTCTCATGTTATTTCACCCTACTCGGCACCATGTGTTACAAAGAAGTGTTTGATTTCAAGTGTCTGGATCTGAAGGGAGAGCATCTCTACTCTGTGGTGCTTCAGATCACATATCTTCTTTCCCACACAGTAAAAAAAAAATAATCTCAGTGCTAAAACCTGAAAGAAGATACTGTAACTCCAGTTCAGTTTGCCTTGTAAAGCCTGAAAGATGGAAATCCTTCAGTGGAAAGATGAAAAAAGTTATAGCTATCTTCAAATATACTTTCTCATGTTACTAATAGCTGACTAAGTACAATTATTTTCTTAAGTCATGATCTCCTCTCCTATTTGCATAGCAAAACTGCATTATAAGTTAAAGATAAAAAGATAAATATCAGCATTTTTAATGGATTTAGGTATTGGGTAATTCAGTCATGATCTAGAAAAAGCTCTTGCCACTTAGCAAGAAAGGGCAAAAATTGTGCTGAGTCAAAAATAGTTGATAGTCACAAGACATCTAAAATTAACAAGTTATTCAAACAGTTACCAGCGTAAGCTTCATTGTCCAAGATATTATATTTCATTTAGTCACCTGCAGCACAATACAAGGTGTTTTTTTCAGCAGAATTATAACAATGGATGTGATGAGAAAGAAAAGGCTCGACTGAACATGTGTAGGATGCAAGATGGTTTTGAGTTGCACGATAAAAGCTGTCTTGTGTTTTCCTCAACCACATACTGTGGCTGAGTGATAAGGTTGAGTCCTTATGATGTTCATGAATATAAACATTAAATAAAAACTGCAGACATTAAGAACATGTCTTAATTTTTCATGATTGTCCAACAAATGCAACCTTCATATGAGAAGTATGCAAAATAGGCATCTAGTATAGCATCCTGTTACTGTATGCGTAGCCTTAAAAATTAGTCATCTGTGTTGATGGTGCATGAATTTGGGGTTGAATGCACAAGAAATACAGTGATCCAAAGTTCAAGACTCATGAAAATGCTTTATAATTACATTTGAGGTGACATTTACTGTAGAAGCTGGTGTTGTAGTAGAGTTATGGCACCATGGTGCTTATAGGGCAGATTTAATAAAAAGCACATCTTGAAAATAGTATTGGAACAAGACAAAGTTTTTCCAGAAGTTTTGCATTTTTAAAGACTCTTACCCTATTGTAAAACGGAGTGCATTTCAGTTCAGCGGCAGCAGAATGAAGACCTTCCTTCTTTTGTATCTTGGAGGCTGCTGGGGATCCTGTAGGTCAATTGGGAGAGAAGTTGTTATTTGCTCATGGTATTTATCCCCATCTACTTGAATGCCAATAAAAACCTGGAAAAAAAGAATGAGATAACCCATAAAAATAATACAGATACGTAGGTAATACAGACTCAAGACTCGAAAACATGGGAAATCAAATGGTGGGCGCATGCTGAGTTGTCAGGCTATGAAAGAGAAAGAGAGGCTGTGTGGAATTGTTTAGCAGTGCTGGCGTGAGTCAGACCAAATCGTGTTTGCCTTCTGGAAGGCAAGTCTTTGTTACACGGAAGAGTGGTAATAGCTCTGTCTAAAAATAGTAGACAAGCAAGTGTCCAAGCAGAATGCAAAGTTCATGTTTCTTTACATTTTATTTCTTTCTGCTGGACTCCAACCCTGCTAGGGTTGAATTTTTTTCCTACTATACAAACAAATTCCTTTCTTGACTAAAATTGGCATATTTAAAATACAGAGGTTGTAAAAGGGATATGCATTGGCACTTGCAAGTGATTGACAACATGCTGTATTCTTTTTGTTTAGAAAAAATGATGAAATAATCTGTCAGAAGTATATTTGTCTGGGCCTTTTCTTTCTGAGGCTGTTCACAAGCTTGAACTTAGTATAAAATTAAATGTCAGTGGAGAACCTGCAACCTAATTGTATCATTTCTTTAGCCTGTTGCTTATGTGATTGCAGATATACAGCCCCTGTTTTAATCGGTGGAAACTTTATTTATTAAAATCATGCTGTACATTATGGTTGTGTACACTTATTTTGTGCATTAACCTTAATGCCTATTCAGATGTTGGGGAAAAAAAAAAATCAAATGGTATCCTTTCTTCTCCCCTTTGCTTTTCTGCCCTTCGACACTAGAGGTACACGGTTAAACCTTTTAACTTATTTTTCACAGAAAATCATTCTGCCCCTCCAGATGTTACCACTTACACCTCAGAACACTCAATACAAGTAGAGAGACCACAAGGATCAACGGCACGAGTGGCACCAAAGTATGGAAACGCTGAACTTATGGAGACTGGTGATGGTATGTCACAGAGCCAAACTGTGTTCTTTTCCAGTATCGTAACCTTTTTAGTGGTTACTGTGTGCATCTGCTCGTTGTTTCTTCTGGGCACTTTTCACTTATAAACACATGCAAAGTTGCAGCGTCTTTACAGTCTTAAAATAAACAGCTACAAATGAAGCCGACAGAGAGAAATATTTCTTAATCAGCAGAGCTGACTCCCTGTAGAAATTGTGTGGCAAAAGAAAGCAGTGAATCTCTTTAGATCTGCTTTTATCATGCTGCCTGGTTACAGATAGTCTGTTCTTTAAATGGCAAAGAACATGACACGCTAGGATGGCTACAGCTTGAAAAGTGACGTGTTTGAAGTTTTATTTTCCGAGTGTATGGTTTTTTTTGAAAAACAGTTATTTGTAAACCCTTTCTTATTTACAGCTCCTCTTTTCTAAAACTTATTAAACGATATTTCAGCAGGGTGTGGAATTGTTGACCAAGTGTTTCACATCTAAACTTAGCAGCTTCAGCTCTGAAAACGACTTGGTAAAAGTTTTAGAGCCGACCTTGTGGAAGGGTAGGAAGTCTAAATTTCTGCAGTGCAGTGACAGAAAGCTACTAGTCCAGGAATGGATGACATGAGCGTTGCAGAGGCTTTGCACTCGATGAGGGAAAAGGAAGGGGGAGGTGATTGATGGGATTATACTACAAAAATGCCCTTTGCCCCATGCTCCTGCGCAGAATTGTGTTTTTCAAAATGCTGTAGGGGCAAGCACACTCCCTTTGGAGATTGCTGGCTGGTGGGATTGGCTGTAGGGATGCTCAGGAAATACAGGGTCATGCGGAAGTAATGCAAAGATGTGAACAATGTTTAAGATGGATACTGGGTAGGTGTCCACTACAGTGTAAAGAGCAACCGAGAGTAAATGGTGGGGCAGAGCCTATGACCCACTCGCCTTGCTGAGCTGCAGTCTAGTCAGCCAGTGTTGGTATGACCAGTGATCGTGGGGAGAGCCAGTGCCTGTCTTCTCACTCACCATTGCCAATGCCACCTAGAAGAGTTCTCTAAGGTTACTGACATTTGCTGTAGGCAGGTTTTTTTGCTGTGCTTCTCTCCCTCAGTCTATGTGCTGTTTCCCCTCTAATTTTGCAAGCTCACTCTGACATTGCTGTATTGTTTTTATTTAAAATAGGCGTCATTGTTCCTTTTTGCTGAAATGATCTTGATGTCTTAATGTTGAATACTTGAGTCACGGTATGGCATGAAACTGTAGTTGTGGTGGCCTTGCAGTCCTAGCCTTTTTCTTACCCCACATAACGTCTGGTGGCGTTCAGCGTAGCGGTCAACTGATGTCTCCATTGATCCCTGTCCTACAGGAGTACCAGTGAGCAGCAGAGTGTCAGCAAAGATTCAGCAGCTGGTCAATACACTAAAACGGCCCAAACGACCACCATTACGAGAGTTCTTTGTAGATGACTTTGAGGAATTGTTAGAAGGTAAAATGACTGTTTTTCAAAAGGTTTGGGGATCTCTTATTAAAACTCTGTAAAATGTTTATCTCGCACATTGACTTCCTAGAAAGCTAAGTAAGCCCTCCCTGTACTGGCAAGTACAAAAAAGCATTGGTATTCAGAATCTGCTTGTAGTGAGCATGGACGTAGTGCTGTAGAGTCAAAAAACTTGTTTGCTCGGCTCCTGGTTCTGCTTGCAAAGAAAAGACAAAAGAGAGTGGAGGGAAGCTTTGCTTTGAGAACATTCAGCTGTGGGTTACAGCCATTGCTTTTCAATGCCAATACGAGCAAAACTGTCAGTGAGGGAGCAAGTTAAATGTTTTACACCTCCTTTATGTAACAGAGAGTCATCCAAAAAACCAACTAAATGTGAGATAGAAACAAGGAGAAAGTCAATAAATGGATTTTTTTTTAAGGAGGCCAGTGCTTTGAGAATTAAGATTTGCCAGGATGCGGAGATGTAAATAGTCTTCATCGTAGTTTGTAAATAAAGCACTGTAACAGAACATGACTTAAATCAATCTGTTACTGATGACTTGTTAAACTACATTTTTTGAGTAGTTCTGTAGTTCATCTCATTACTGCATTTTTGCTAGGGAAAAGTATTCTCCACTTCTCTTTAGGAATAAAGTTGATTATTTTGAAGGAAAATATATGCATGCTGCCTCAGCAGTTTCTTTCCCTGCTTGTAGAGCTAGTGTAAGGATAAGCACGCGCATTCCTGAGATGCTTCAGTTGCTTCATCTCCGTTAAAGTTTAAAGTTAATTATTCTGTCGTATTTCTCTGTTGCTTCTCAATACCTTCTAACACATTATTATTTTCAGGATATTTTGCAAAGGTAACTTATTCTCTTGGTTACACAGGTGTACACAAGGTATAGAATTTACATGGTAACTGTATATCTTTTCATAATCATAAGTTCAACAGCCAGATCCAAACCAGCCAAAGCCAGAAGGAGCTCAGATGTTGGCTATGCGTGGGGAACAATTAGGTGTGGTTACAAATTGGCCGCCTTCTCTGGAAGCAGCTTTGCAGCGATGGGGGACCATCGCACCGAAAGCTCCTTGCCTAACCACTATGGATACTAATGGAAAACCACTGTATATTCTCACTTACGGTGAGCGCTCTTCAAAATCCTTGTGCTTTTATATATCGTATACAATGTCTATGTGTACAGTAAATGCATAAATATACAGTGAAAAAAGCCCTCCAGTGACGCATCTGTTCCATTTCTGAGTAGGGTAAGACAGTTCTGAAGCTGTTGGTGTCTGAGTATGGATTGCTGAGATGTTATAGTATGATTTATTTCACAAGAGGAAAAGAGCTGAGGAGATACACCCATGGAATCACAGATTATAGATTAAAACCACCTTTTAAATAATAATACATCCTAGGGCAGATTTCCCAAAGATTAACGACTCAGTCCATTGCCCTTAGATATTGCCCAGGCTTTGTTCTGCAAAAGCAGAATCTGGTATACAAAATTCACCAGCTTCCTGAAGAAGTTAAAATGGGTTGTTTTAGCATGTTCTACTGACATTGTAGTAAATGTGATTTGAATTATTCCTCCTGATATGTAGCTGTACAGCTAGCGAATGTACCCCCTTGAAATAGATTTGCCAGAATATATTTCAGTGTGGTCTTTGGTATGTCGATATAATTCAATGTGTGCTGCCTGACAATCTATTGCAACCAAGAAAGGCCAAATAAAAATAAACATAAGGATATCTCTGACAAATAACTCCCATATAGCTTCTAATTTTGAAATGTTCAGGGGACGTTTGGGAGATGTTCAAAGGAATTATTACGAATAACCGTCAAGACTTTGCAAACAAGTTGGGACATTCCGTATGCTATTCATGTGGATATAAAAAATTATTTTGCTTTTTTATTTCTGCCTTCTCAGGGACCTAGAGTTCTATGCAGAGAATGTTTTCACGTGCTGTGGTATAGAGGTCTGTCTGATTTGTTCAGTGCTGGATGCTCCTTTCCATTCATGAGTCAGACTGAGTGATGGTCCCTGGCCGAAAAGACGTCTGCTGCAAGTTTGGCATTGCAAATATAGTGAAAGGCTTTTAAAGCACAGCAGAACCTTTGCAACTGAAGGTCATGCGTGAAATTTTTTCCCTTCAGGTACCTTAGAGTTAAGAAGTTGCTTAAACTAGGGGGCAAACATGATTCACCACTGATCAATGTTTTTCTTCCTTAAGGACATTTACTTGGAACTAGAGAAGAATTTTAAGGTTTGCAATTACATGTTTTCAGAAGACCAATTCATATCACTTACTGAATGCCCTAAATAAATTGGACAGGAAAGGAAATTAAGATGTTAGTGAGAATCAGACCATTTTTCTGAATATGGGATTCTGTCCAGAGAGTCTGAGCATATGTCCTGCTTCGCCCGGAGGGCTGTAGGCTGAGCAGATCGACCTGTGGAGCTCATCCACATGGCTCATAGGGCCATCTAGCCTGCTTCTCTGTCCTAAGCTAACTCTTTCCAAACCCCTGTTCTAAATTTTCCAAATCCTGGGAAAAATGGGACTAAAACTCATGTTTTCATTACTTTAATTTGGCAGCACTCTAGGATACGGGTTTTGCTGTTGCCTTTCAGTAGTTTCCTGAGGTCAGAAAAAATCAATTGTTTTTTTCCCCCCCCATCTTTTTATAGATAAAAGAAATTACAATCTAAGTGATTTTTTCTCTGCTAGCTAGATTTCAAGCTGACATTCTTCGTGGGAAATGTCCATTCACTATGCCATAGCAGTGTTCTTAAATGACAACTGCTTTTGAAATAGCATTGACATTACAGCCACCTGCCATTTTCTGGTGACTTTATGAATGATTTTGTTGTAGCTATTCCACCTTTTGCATCTGTAATATTTTCTTGCAATTGTGGGCATGGCATTTTTTAAAGTTGAACATTAATAGACATTAAGCCTTGAACTCAGCAAAGACACTCTTATTTGTGAATTTTTATTCCTGGATGCAGTTCCAGTGTCCCTGGTGGTAGTAACTTGTTGAAAGATGAGCTTAACCCGCAACCCTATCACATGGTATTAATGTGACACTTCATCTCCTTGTGTGCATGCTATGGTCAGATGACTAAAACTTTAAAATATCAACACTGAGAACTTTCAGTAGCCTCTGAGTTTGTACCTCACAGTTATTTTCAGGTTCTTTGCCAGTTTAAGGGAACACCATTACCAGGATTTTTCATAAGTTCACTATTTTGACAAACACTCAAGAGTTTAAAGAATTAGGAGTTTCTAGATTTTCCGTCTTTGGCATGTTACCAACAATATGCGCCTTTTCTTCATTATTTTACCTCTGTTTACTGTTTCTGCCTCAGTCTCTTCTCACACCCTGTTGTGTCTTCATGGAATTCCTCTAAGTTCATCCTCCAAATTTCCGGTTAAGAAGAGGCTTCTACATGGTGTCTTTTGATCCCTACTTTTTTCATACACAGCATCTTCAGTTTCTTGTCTCTGCATGGATGAATTGCAGGTTTGCCTGCTTATTCCAGACTTCTTACCGTCTTTCCAAACTGGATTCCAGGAATGTCTCTGTAGCTGTCAGCTAGTTCATAGCCCGTCTGAGTAGGAGCACTTATTCCCTTAACAACAAGCGTATTTATCTCCTCCTTTGTGGATCATTATAGACAATATTCTGGTGAAGTGGTGAGTGCTCCAGATCATGATGTGCTGTGGTGCCAGAAGGGGAAATAGTTCTTTCAGCTGTTGCTTAAAATCACCTCTGCTTTCCCATTCCTCTGCAGGAATGAATCTAATTTGTAACGCCTTAGATCTCCTGTGTCTTTTTCGGCATGTTTTTTGAGCTTTTTGTCTTCATAGCATGTCAGGACTGTTTTCCTCCATGTGTCTCAGATTACTGTACAGAAGAAATGAATAACTGCACTTGTAGACTTGATCTTTTTTCCAAGCAATTTTTTGAAGTGATTTGCCTCAGTTCTTTAAGTTCTTCTCAGTGCCCCAGTTGTAATCTTTATTTAATGTACTCAAACCTCTTAAACTCTTTCTAGTGAGTGATACACTATGAATATTACTTATTTCTGAAATATTTTGTTCCTCTGGGAACTTGGTTAAGTGGAGAACATCTTAGTTAAGTTACTCACAATCCCTTCATAAATCAAATCAGTGGATGTGCATAAATTGAGATGTCGGAGATACAGGAAGAAAAGATGTCTTTATTGTTTTTTTTTGTAAGTCTGAACTCTGACTGTAAACGTAATATGTGCTTTGAGGAAAAGGAAGATGATTTCTGTCTCAGACAAAGTTTTAATCAGAGTAATCAGGCATCTGGTCTTGTATTGTTGGTATTAATAATGCAGGACTTAGTGATTTCTTAGAGGAGGAATGTAAATAAAGGACAATTAAACCTTACATAGTACTTATGCTATCACAGTTACTTTTCTTACTTAAAATAATTATTCCAAGAAGAATCAGAAAGGCTGGGGAAAAAGTAAAAAGCTGAAAGTGATTTGGCAATAAGCAAGTTTTGAGCTTTCTTATTGTAATCATTGTTAAAAACAACAAAACGAGTACCAGTTGACTACATCTGATTCAAAGAATCTCATTTCCTTTATCTAACGCTTTCTATAATAAGATTTTTTAAAAACAATTTTCAGTAACTCCAGTGTATTGTTTCCCACATCAGAAGCCCACTGGAGACTGCAAGGCTAGCAAAAAAGAGCAGAGAGGGCTCTCTGGATAGAGAAGTGGTTTTTTTTTATCCATTTGAATTCTGTGGAGAAAGAAATGCCTGAAAAATGGCATTTTTTTCAAATGAATTGCCCATAAAATAAAATACTCAACACAACTGTAAACGTTTCAAGGCCAAAGTCATGCTGCCTTACCAGAGGTGGTGTAGCATATAGCGGTGATACCATGAGATAGCTGAAACTAAACAGACCGTAAATAGCCAACCCCAAGCTGTGCTGCACCTGGCATGCGACCCAGCCCCCCACGTCCTCTTGCTGCGCGAATCTCTTAGGCCAGGAATTTGACAGTTATCAGGAGGAGAGAGAGGGAACTGAGACTCTTCTAACCAAGTACCTACATAATCAGTCTGTCCTTATCCCTGAAAGAACTCAGTGCTTGCAGAGGGATGGATAGTCATTGTTCAGTTCCCTAGACAGATATCAATCTTATGGTTGTTTAATACTTTAAACATTTATTTCTTTAATAAAAAGACAGAAAATTACTTTTAAAACTCTGTTACAATCTATGATTAAGACTGGAGTACCAAGTACTGCAGTAGCAAGGTTACCTTTATTCTGAGTATGTCTGGAGTCTTTTAGTCTCTGCAACAGACATTTTTGTTCTTTTTCTTTGAATTTTTTCTCCCAAAAGACAACAGCTTCGTTTGTTGCTCAGGGTGGATCTAAAGAGTTTATGAAGAAGGGGTTAACAGAGCAGCAGAACTGTGACTATTATTTTGCAAAGCAGAAAAACTGCCCCTTTACCTGCAGAGTGTTAGGAAGTTTGCTATTTACACCAGATTTAATCAATATTCTTCTTTCTATTTAATATAAGAAATGTCATATTGTGATATTGAGAAAATGAATATTTGACAAAATTATTTGCAGTTAATCTTTGGCAGCCTCACAGTTGCTGTGCACGGAGATTGGTAAGCAACCACTGGTTTGGCTTTGTTGAGTTAGTGCTGTGTGGTTCTGAAAAGCATCCTGAAGATGACAGGAAATTGCTTGTGGTTTGGTTTCTCTCTGGGTTTTCTCCCTGATACAGCTTTTCTCTTATAACCTTCTTTACATTCAACACAAATGTATAGTCCTTTTACAGATTTGCAAAGGAAGAGGAAAGGGATTTACTTCATTTACTTCGGTGTCATGTGGAAAGCATCTAGTTTTTGTTAACTGATCCCTTTTTGTGCGTTTTTTAAGACCTGGTGGTTTCCTTTACCCTCATAACGTGTTGCTTAACCAGATGGGACTGGCTATTAACTCACTCCGGCTTGCTAATTTTTAGGTGGTAGAAGATACTGCCCTCTGAATAGACTGTTGAAAAAAGAATGAGACTGAATACAAGAGAAATGTAAAATATGTGATTGCAGGTGTAGATTTGCTACTAATCAACTAAACCAAAATTTCAGCGGCCAGAGAAAAGGGACTTGCCCTGCACGGGTGTTAACACTGTTTGTCACAGCTACCAGAAAGCAAGATGCCATTTTCCATCCTGTCCTGCCAAGAATATCTGTGTGTGTGATGACTGCGGGACAGGGCTCAGCTGCAGAGGCGTAGCGGTGCTTGCGGATACTTCCTGGGCAGTGGGAACACTCGGCTTAGTTGGCGAGCGTGTGAAGAGCATGAAAGACGGCTGCTGGGGCGTGCACGTCTGGCCGCAGCACTCTGGGCAGGCGACAGAAGTGGCTAAAGAAGATGCAGTCGTCATTAGAAGAAGATTTATTTCAGTAAATGCTTAAGCAATTATAAGGTAGGCAGTGATAGATGCAGAGAAAAGCTTAATTTCTTACCAGCTTGTGGAGTTACAGAAGATCTTGGAAAGCAGCACCACAATTAGCAGCTTGATGGGAAGTAGGAACAAGATTATAATTTGTAGCATCTGCAAGGTGTGCGTTAACTGCATGTTGTTGGCGTTTTGTTTTCTGAAATCAACTTGGGAAACTCTTCTATGGTCTGCTTCGTTTGGGAAACAGTTTTTTGACCTGAAAACTGGGATAGTTCAGGTAATGAATCCAGTGGCCTGCGTTTCCACGACGTGTGTGTGTGACTGGGAGACACGGCACAGGGTGGGCAGCCCCCGGCCCCTGCTGGAGGGTGCCCTCGTGCCTGAAGTGCTGCTGGACACTCAGGTCTCTCGCTGATGACTTACTTCTGCAGAGCACTTACCAGTTCTTCATTTTTAAATGCAAGAACGTAGCTGCTCACGTATGGCTGGTGAGCAGATCAGAGCCTGGCAGCGCCAAATCCTGTCTCTGGCTGAGGCAAGTGGGAGCAGGGTTTGAAAGGAGCTGACTGCAGTGAGGACGTGAGCAGGAGGGTGAGGGAGAGGAAGGTTCACGGGAGCTGGTCCTTCCCTGGGGAAGCAGCGGGGAAGCAGCAGCAGTGCTCAAGGTTCCTGCACCCAGGCGTCTGCACTGATGGGCTGCGGGCCGGGCCGAGGGCGGCTTTCAGCTGCGGCAGCATGGCTGGAAGAAAGGCGCTTGGGCACTGAGCTGAAACACGGGCTGGTCCGCTCCTCGCTGCTAAGTGAAACCATTGCTTGGGTTTCCTACGTCTGGCCGCCTGTCTTCAAGCAAAAAAAACAGCTGGCCGCCTCGCCAGGGCCTCCCGCTCCCACCGCCCAGATGTGGCACCGCGCCAAGGTCGCGGCATCGGGGTTTGTGGGAGAGGTTGTGGCAATCGGCTTTTTCCCGGCGATGTCTGATCTCTCAAGGAAGAACTACGCTGAATTGCAACCTAGGCAGAACCAAGGAAGGAAATACTTCAAGGATATCCTTCTTTATAACATCCTGCGTTACTGAGGGCTTTTATCCTGCGGTGGTGGAGTCCTTTGTACTTCTCAGTGACATTGGAGGGGCCAAACAGCCAAGATGGCAGAGCGGGCGCATGGTTCAGCCCACCTCTGCTCGGAAGCTTGTGCCCCATCCAGCAGTCGCAGACCTGGCCCTGATGATTCACGCATTCCTGGCTCCAGCTTCTGGATTGCTGCTCCCTTTGTAGCCCTGCTTTTATTTACTTTTTGGAACGCAGCTATATACCTTGAAAGGCAGGTCACGGGCTTCCTGTTGAACACGACCCAGCTCCAGATCTGCGTGGGCTTTGCCTGCTCGCGAGGGTGCCCTGGAGCAGAGGCAGCAGCAGCCAGGGGCAGGCAGAGCCCGCGGGGGTTACAGCGCAGTTACGGAGCTGCGCGGGGCCGCAGGAGAGGCCGTGTTCTGACCGTTAGAAAGTACTGTGGGCATGTGCTGTGCAGTTTGAAGTGTATTTAAACAGAAAGATGAGGAATTAGGTAGGCAGCCTTATGTGCTCTGTGTTTCAGAAGCGGGAATAAAATTTTGGCAATAAAAGAGCATTGTGACAAAATGTATTTAAAGACTTGATTATTTAAAACTTTACTAGAAAGTACTCCTTTAAATTTTCTTAGTCTTTGAGACACCCTAGTTTCTGCATTGACTCGGATCACCTATGTGGAGATGGTTGTACTGCATACCCAGGTACTGCTGAAAGAAGGTATCTAAATACTTTTAATATGAATAGCCCTTAGATTTTGAAGAAAATATTGTAAGATGGCACATTTGATACATGAGAAATTAGTGTGAATACATCACAAATGCATATTTAAGACTGGTAACAGATTTAATCTCCATAGCTCAGAGAGAACTTCTCACCGCAGCCCCTTATGTCTCTCAGAAAAGTGATTAAAAACTCAGTGTTCACTTCAGGCTTGGAAGTGTTCTATGTAAAGATAGTTCTTTCTTGCAGTTCAGAACTTCCACTAGGCTTTTCATTTCCATTCTCCAGTTCTCTGTATCATCACTAATTGCTCTTTTAAGTTTGTTGCCACTGAATCTGTAATGTTGGAAAACTTAAAAAAAAAAAGTATTTGCTTTCTTAAGGCATCTTTGTTTTTATCGTACTCGCTTGTGAGGTTGTAGTGTTGACTGTAGCAGCAGGGATGCTTTTAAAGACTTTCTTGCCATCCAGTGCATGTGGTTCTGCAAGGATTAATCCTGCAGATGTACTCCTGTATCCATGCTGAGTTTCTAGTGGAAGAGAATTGAATCATACGTATTTCTGAGCGTCGAGGCCATTCAGCATGCAAATATTGGAGTAATTTTAAATAAATTAAAAACTTTGCAAAACACAGTGTGGTGATACAACAGGAAGTAATTACCTTTAGTACTTTCTCAGTAACAAGCAGCAGTGACCCTTCCAATTTTCCTTAAGAGGAAAAAAAGAAAATCTGGCCTTCTCATCGTGTGTTATATTTACACGAGATTTGCACTTAAAAATGATTCAACAGTATTGCATTTTATAACCAGGATGTGGAGGAACTTACTATAACAGCTGCTTGGCTTAGTTATAAATAGCAATATTGCCTGTTTGAGAGCCTGAACTGCTG